AAAAACAAGATCACTTTGGTATCAGAAAACTATGCAGTAGTGTACTTTGAAAATGAAAAAGATCTAAGAGAGGCACTCCAGCATCAAATAAAGATCAAAAATCAAGGGCTAGGATAGAATGCAAAGAATCATTATTATCACAAGGTATCAACTGATCTGGCCAGGTCAGGTAATGTGTATATAATGATTAAAGAAGCAAGGGAACAAGATTGTAGAAGCCTGGATAGAGCAAGTGAAGATATAGAAAGTGATAAAGATATTATGGCAACTGAAAAAGAAGCTATATCGGCAGTAAGACTTAGAAAAAATAATTGTCAGTCAGAAAACAGGAAAAGTACAATGAGGTCTATACCACCAGTAACTGGTAGCAATAGGGAGCCACTAGGGAGGCAAAAACATCAGGAAGCAAATCAAGTTCCACACCAGGCTTCACAATATTTATTAGAAGCAGATGATGAAGTTTTGGATATCAGGCAACATCAAAGACAAACAACAAGACAGGAAACAAGAAACTAAAGATCAACTGTAAAGCAAGAGTTAGAGGTAGCCCAGCTAAACAAAATATTAGAGAAGCTTAGTAAACGTCTAGACAAACTAGAGAAAGGCCCACTCAAAAGGAGGACTAACCGCTCCTAAAAAGGGTGCACCAGTTCAATTACAAAAGAAAGGGAATGTCAGCCCACCATTTCCAAGTCAAAAACACAAAACAAGAGCAAAGCACAACAAATAGAAAAAAACAATAGTAAGGAGTAACAGAGTGATCAAGATCTTGATACTTTCCTGCAAATAGAAAAGGATAAATTTCTAGAGAGAAATAAAGACGATCAACTGGTAGAAAAAACAAAAGAGAAAAATATACAAAAAAGAGTAATTAGAATAGGGACACATAATATTAGAGGCATTACTGATAGTACAAACTAGTATAGTCTTATAGAAGAAATGCAGGAACAAGGCATTGGAATAATGGGATTATGCGAAACAAAACTAACCAATGCAAAGGCAAAATGGGCCTTCCAGAAGCAAACAACCTTCAGGCATTTTCATAGTACCAATAAAGACACTCCATATGGTACAGGAGTTAGTCTCTTGATAAGAAAAGATCTGAAAAGAAAGTAGCTTCTGTAGAAGAGACAGAAGGATATATGACAGCAGTTAATGTGCTCATGAAATGAAACAAGATATATATTATCCAGATTGTTATTCCTTCAGACAAACGACGAAGTATAAAGGTACAGAAGAAAGTGTAAAACTTCATTAAAGAAAAGAACAGACAAGACTTTCATATAATAGTAATGGGAGACTTTAATGCCATATACAACCCTGCAAAAAACAGGGCATCAATATCTAGAGCTAAATTTAAACTATCTTGGCATCCAGAAATACCACTATTCAACTTTTTAGATAAATGGTCATTCTTTGACATACAGGCTATATGGGAAGGAAAAGATAAAACCTCAACAAGATGGGATGCTACTAGCAGTAGTCGTATTGATTATATATAGATATCTCAAAGTCTTACAAACTATCCAATACTTAGATTTGACAACCAAAACATGAAGGAATCAATAGGAAGTAATCATACTATGCTAGTATTAGCAATACATGATGCTAATCTCTTCACAAGAGATATCAAAAACAAGCCTTCCACAAAGAATGAATGAAGAATAAATATAAAAGGATCAATACCTGAGTAGTGGAAGGCATTCAATAAAAGTCTGAGTCACAAGCTCAAAATGGCAATGGATCTATTATTTAAAGAAGAGCCTGAAAATGGTGAAAGAGAAGCTCAAGCAAACAAGATCTGGAAGACATTTGAAGAACAAGTATG